AAAGTCACTCATGAGGGCGACCTTGACAACATATGTCAAGGTCAAGGTCATCGGGGCTGGCTCCCTTCATCGATATATTTACCCTATTTTAAATAGAAAATATCTCGGAAGATGGATCGGACTTCATGGTCCTCGAGAGTGGCCACCACGCTCTCCGGATCTCACGCCCATGGATTTTTTTTGCATGGGGTTTCTTAAAAAGCAAAGTATGCGAGACCCTGCCGAAAAATGCAGAAATTTTGAAAAACAGAATTCGCAATGCGTGTACAGAAATTACTCCTCTTATGCTGAACCGAGTGAGAGAAAATTTAATGCGCAGGATTGCTATATGTCTAAAAGAAGATGGTGGTCACATTGAACATTTATTATAATTAATTATAATTATGTTATTTTATTATAATTTTATATTATACATATACAGGGGTCTGATGCAAAAGTAGCCACCTTGAAAATAGTGGTAGATTGGGTTAAGGCGGCTAGTCAGGGTGACACATGTTTTTGGAGCCGATTTTCGTGATTTTTTTTTCAATAAAGTAACAAAGTTAAAACATATTTGACTTTCGATTTTTATTTTACATACTTTGAAATGTTTAGAAACATTTTTTATTGCTAAAAAAGTTGCTCCTCGAGACCGCTGCACCACGTCCAATAAAGGCCTGCGCGGAGTACGGGGGTGATCGGTGGGACATCTGGCGGCCGTAATTTTACACCTCAAACAAAATTTTAAAAACTACCTTGAAGCTGATGATATTTTCGTTGGAAGTACATACGGAAATTGAAAAAAAATGATTTTTGACAAAATGGCGGCATATTGAAAAAAAGTCAATTTTTTCGACCAAAAAAATGGGCAGAAAAAGCTGCACCTAAAATCGAAATTAAAAGATATCGAAAAAATCGTATGTACTTCCATAGAAAAAACGCCGACAAACAAGTTAAACCAAGTTAGAACGTAATTGCATGTAAATTGCAAGAGTTATTTGTCCCACCAATTTCAAAAATGTCGTTTTGAGAAAAACGCGTTTAAAGTTTCAACTTGTGTTCTCTAATACTAAAATTGAACAAACCTTTAATCGGCAATGCCGGCACCGTACAGTTGGCCTTCTCTATCGATATCCTGCTGGTCCAAGCTCTTCCGAGTTGATAAAATAGCCCTACGAGCCTCTTGAGCGGCGTCGGTCATCTTTCGGTCAGCTTGTTGGATACGTCGGGAGTTGGCTTCGAGACAGAAATCGTTGCAAGTAGGTCCGATTTTGAGTTCGAGGACCTGCATGACTTCCATTATACTCTTCAAGCCATCGTTGAAATTGCATGTGGCCAAATCGGCGGCAATATCAACGATTTTTTTGCCAGTGTTCACTGTTTTCGGCGCCATCGACCACAATGTCGAATTGAAACACTCGTTGTTGTTTTGGGTGTATCCGCCCAGACAACGTTGCAGCAAATCATCCCTCGTTAGTTCCTCGTATACTGGCCGTAAAGCATTGAAAATTTCCTGTCTCATTGCAGGTTTGTGTTGGTAGTCGGCGAGCTGTCCAGAAGCTTTTGCCCTCTGCCACGTACACCACGAATCTGCGCCTTGCGGACACTTCTCGTGCTGCGGTTTTAAGTCCGTTGATATCTTGTGATGCAAAGTAGCCCAGATTTCTTTCTTCATGTTCTCGACGGATTTCGTATTGCGTCGAATAGCCAGCCCGTAATAGATTGATAACTCGTCGATCAATTTACCAGTTAGTTTGCTTTTACCGCCAAGACCCCTCGTTTTCTTGACCAACTGACGTAGTTGCCTGCCTAAACGTTTTTGTACGTGATCGATGCATTCTTTTTTTGAACGACTAAATCTTTATACGGCTTAGCATCAAGAATCCCCTTAAATGTTTTGCTATCTCCATCGCCAATGTAAAGTGCATACTTCGTGTCGTGTAAAGTTTCAGAGCGCTCGAACATTTCGACAGAGTCCACTTCCATTTTTCCTGACGATCCCTCGTGATTGCGTTGACATTTATCTTTATGAGTTTCATACCACTCTTCGAATTCTGCTGTGCCTTCTTGATCTTTTCTACCATCACAGGCTTTACAAAATTTAGATTTCACTTGCAGATCGACGACTTTACCTGTGCGCCAGCCGATGAGGGTTGTTACACCTAACAATGAAGAAAATCCCCTTGTCTTCCAGGTCCCGTCCCCCGATACCGTTATTCCGTTCTTCTGTCCATCTTGATCCGACAACTGTTTTTCTTCAGCAGCTGCTTTTTTCATCGACATACAACGCACAGCTTCGGTCGCGATAGAAATAGCATCAATTACTGAGTTGTAGAATGATCTGAATATCGGATTTGGCAAACACATGAACGCACAAAACTTTGCTATACCATTTGCTCCAATTCCAATTAGTCTCATAGCAAAAGTTAATCGGCGATTGATTTCGTATGCGTTGCGAATTAAAGGACAAGAGTTTATGTAACTAGTGACACAACCATCACAAGAAACAGCGATTTTAAATCCTAGGCCTCGAACACTCGCTTCTGCAAATCGAACTTCCGAACCACACTTTTTACACACAACTAATTGAGCGATTGCAGCAAACACAGACATAAACTCGATTAATCGATAGCCAAAACTTTGATCCACATGAATTTCATAGTCTCTTGCAGCCATTCGCAATTTCTTCGCCGAAGTCGAAACACTCTCAGTTTCACGCTCCGTACAAAACCGATTAATTGGCTTCCGCTTACCAATCGGCCTGTCTTGAGTACGGTTATTATTCATTCTCGACCCTTTTTTACCCGAATAAACACGTCTGTTAGCCATTTTTAGTCACTCACGTTGTAAACAACACGAAAAACAAGCGAAATATTATTGTAAATATAGTCTTAGTTGACACTATTGCCCTCTGTAATACGAATTATAACTAACAGGGCCTCTACTTCGTCGTTACATAAAACAATATACCGATCGGGCCCGAGCGCTCCGGTACGCTCTGAGCACGTCAGAACCCTTTGCAGTAAATCGCGATTTTAACAGATTATAAAGTTTAAGGCCAACTTTATATGAATGAATATTGAAAATAGACACCCTAAGGAATATTTTAAGCCAATAAAAATATTTTGGTCAAAAAAAATTTTCACCCTGTCTAGCCCCCTTAAACTAAGGAGAAATCACGAGACACGATAGTGTCTCGCGCCAAGTGTAAGCGTAGCTAGTACACGCGTGCGAGACCGACCGTGTAAGTTTACGCGAGTACACGAGTTGACGGGCCTTCAGATTTTCGGATCTCAACAACGGCTGATCCGACGAAATTGAGACTGCGCTTAATCGATAGCTTGAGTACGATTTGCATAATAAAAGTGTTTTTACTTTTCTCCTACGTGCTCCAGGAGTGGAGGTATTGCAATGCAAAAGTCAG